GTTTCCGCGGTAATTGTAAAATATCACAAATTATTGCTTATTTATAAACACAAATTGAAAACAAAAGTTTGTATGTTATTCATCCAGCTATCAATTCACAATAAAGGTATGTCACACCATCGTAATCGAAAGCAAACGCGATTTAATTTACGCATGCCAGATTTCTGTTTTTAAACGGTGATAGATCCCGTAGCTCTATGTTCGACGTACAACAACAAAATTAAAAAAAAGACGTCCAAATGAAATTGTTAGGGCGAAATTCAATTGTAGGTCGCACCAAAGAGCTACGGAACCGCAGCTAACAAAGACCCTACTGACAAACAAGTTCGCACTCGCAGCAATCCAAAATCTACGCCAGAAACCTTTGGTAATCGCACTGAAAACACTAACATTTATATTTATATTTATATTTATTTATTAACACACAACATCCCCCGGAGGGGATGAAAAGGGTTACAAATCAGATATTAGTAAAAGAAAAATAACCACATAAAGAGTAAGGGAACAAAAAGGCATAAAAAAAAAAAAAAGATAATAATTTGAATACAAGGAATGTATTACTGGCTTAGTTTATGTAGGTGCTGCTGTCTTGTATTAAAACAGTTTTTTAAATATTGCGCTAAAGGAATTGACATTTTCTCGTCACTTAGTAATGATATGAATTTATTTTCATTACTAAATTTGTCAAAATTTGGTATACGTTTATTAGCTACAATGTAAAGTTTTAATCTTATTTCATTGTAATGAGGACAATTTGTGACAAAATGTTGTTCATCTTCAACATGGTCATTGTCGCACATATTGCAGACTCTGTCTTTAAAATCCAATCCTGTATGCCGGCCTGTTTCAATTTTCAGACAGTGGTTGCCAAGTCTAAATTTTGTTAAGGATTTGCGAAGTTCACTGTTTTTCATAATTGTTAAGTAGTTTTCTTGTTCTATTTTGGTTTTAAAAAGTTTGTAGGTTCTTAGTTTATTTTTAGAATTTGATTTTTCCTATTGTCATTATTTATTTCATTTTT